AACCGAATCCTACGACTTGAACTTGGTCAGAACTGTGAAGCTATGTGTTTCTGAACCTCTGGACTAGGAATGCATAAATTTGATAAACAGTTTCATCATGGATGAATCAATGGAAATATGCTGAGAGTTAGCTATATTTTCAGTGAATGATATGTTTATTGTTTTCTTGCCAATGTTCGATCCATCTATGTATCTGGTCTGTGGGCTTGCTTGTAATAAAACTTCTGACTGTCCTTTCTAATTTGGATGAATGGAATGCACAGCAAATAGTGCCACCTGTGATTAACTCCTTTTCTGATCAAGATAGCCGAGTTCGGTACTATGCTTGTGAAGCTCTCTATAATATTGCAAAGGTAAGTATGTAATGTCTTGTTGTATGGTTTAATGTATAGAATCATTGGCTTTGATGCACCACCTTTTTTGATGTACAGGTTGTGAGGGGCGATTTCATTATTTTCTTTAATGAGATTTTTGATGCTTTATGCAAACTCTCAGCAGATTCTGATGCCAACGTGCAAAGTGCAGCTCATCTTTTAGATCGCCTTGTTAAGGTAAACCACTAGCTCATCCCTTGAAATATAAATGGTACTCTCACACACAAGTGGTGATATGTTGACTCAGAAGAGTAATTGAATTTGCTTTGTGGAACAGGATATTGTTACAGAGAGTGATCAGTTCAGGTGTGTCAAGCTAGCTATCTGTTCATGTATCACAAATCTCTTATGCACTTTAACTTTGAAGACTGGCTTCTCCATCTCTTCCCCTGATTTGTAATTTGCAATTTTGTACTTGCAGTATTGAGGAATTTATACCTCTCTTAAAAGAGCGCATGAATGTTCTAAACCCTTATGTTCGGCAATTTCTGGTAGGATGGATCACTGTGCTTGACAGTGTTCCGGACATTGATATGCTCGGTTTTCTTCCCGACTTTCTTGATGGTAAGACAATTTGGTGACTCCGCTAAGAAATGCTCTTATTAAAGTTAAATTATTGGTATTTGAACTGATTACCTTCTACATTCCCAGGGTTGTTCAATATGTTGAGTGACTCCAGTCATGAAATCCGCCAACAAGCTGACTCAGCGCTTTCAGAGTTTCTTCAAGAGATAAAAAATTCTCCAGTAAGACTTCTGCTGATGGTTATGGAAGTCAAATCCTACTATTATATATCTCTTCATATAATTTTGTCGGATTTCCCTGTCACTTTTGTTTCATTTGTTATCCCGAAGCCATACTTTGTTTCCACATGCAAAAGCTCCATAAAGCATCGCACAAATAGCTATTTTTTTTCCTTTCATTCATCTGTAAATTTCTGACCGGAGCAGTGCTACTGTTGAAGTCTGTAGATTATGGTCGCATGGCTGAAATATTGGTGCAGAGGGCTGCTTCTCCTGATGAATTCACTCGATTAACAGCCATCACATGGGTAAGCAAAAACCATGTATTCCCTCCTTAATTACATCTCAGTGCTAATTTTATTCTTGGCCATTCAATTGCTTAGAAGCTGTCCTCTTTTTTGGCTATGTTGCTGTAGATAAATGAGTTTGTTAAACTTGGGGGTGATCAGCTTGTCCGTTATTATGCGGATATTCTTGGAGCTATTCTGCCTTGCATATCTGACAAAGAAGAAAAAATCCGGGTGGTAGGTTGATATTCTGTGAAATGATAAATGGTGGTTGTGCTTTCTCAGTGGATTTGGATGATATTTTCTTCTTTTGATTCTTCTTGGCTTCAGGTTGCTCGTGAAACCAACGAGGAACTCCGTTCAATCCATGTGGAGCCCTCAGATGGTTTTGATGTTGGGGCAATTCTTTCTGTAGCTAGGAGGTTAGTTTTTGCTTGTCTATTGTCAATGGGAAGTGCTTGCCTATGGAGTCGTATAAAAAGGCTCCTGGAAGTAGACCCCCCCCCCTTTTTTTTCTTTCTAAAATTGATATTTGCTATTTGTCTGTCATATCTAGTGCTTGTCTAAAATTGATATTTGGTAATGGCCATGAAACTTTTTGTTGACTGTTCAGGCAACTATCGAATGAGTGGGAGGCTACTCGAATTGAAGCATTGAACTGGATATCAACACTGCTAAACAAGCATCGTTCTGAGGTCAGCAGACCAGGCGTTTGTTTCTTTTATTTCGATTTGCTTTGTTCTTTTTTCCAGAAAAATTTGCCTCATTCATGGCTTAATAATTAACTTAATTGTGCCTGTGTCAGGTGTTATGCTTTCTAAATGACATTTTTGACACCCTACTGAAAGCATTATCTGATTCTTCTGATGATGTAAGTTTATTGTTTGGGGACTTGTTCTAATTGAGATGTTTCGATCTTGTAATTTTGCTTGTGATATATTGAACTTTCTGACCTGGCAATATTCTGCAGGTGGTGCTCTTGGTTCTGGAGGTTCATGCTGGTGTTGCAAAAGATCCTCAACACTTTCGCCAGCTCATTGTTTTTCTAGTCCATAACTTTCAGGTTGATAATTCTCTTCTGGAGAGGTGAGTTCATCTTTAATACGCCATCTGTTTCTTTATCAATAAAAAGAATAGAGAAAGATGTATAGTTGGTCTGATACTCTGCTTGATTTCATGCTTAGCTTACAAATTTAAACATCTCCTCCACTTCTTTTCCCTATAGGCGAGGCGCCCTTATAATTCGGCGACTTTGTGTGCTTTTGGATGCTGAAAGAGTTTACCGAGAGCTTTCAAATATACTCGAGGGGGAATCGGATCTGGATTTTGCTTCTACCATGGTTCAGGTTTCCCAGTTTCTTGATTCTTTGATTAAAAAATGTTTCGTGGTCAACACTGTTGATCATTGGTTTTTTCATATCGTTTATGGCCGCAGAGAAAAAGGCAATTTTGCGAGCCACTCTATTTACGTTTCTCGCTTTGATGGGTTAATTTGTCCATCTTTGTTTTTCACACAAATAGAGAACTCCCTGTTTTCGATATACCAGTATACTGTTAACGTAAGTAAACTTGTAAATTGTAACGCAGTCCTTTCTCTTTCGTTTTCAGGCATTAAATTTGATTTTGCTTACATCCCCAGAGTTATCTAGACTTCGAGATCTTTTAAAACTTTCCCTTGTCAATCACGAAGGGAAAAACCTTTTTGTTGCCTTGTATGCTTCATGGTGTCATTCACCCATGGCAATAATAAGTCTTTGCTTGCTGGCTCAGGTAAAACTGACAACGATTCTCTTCGACCCTCCTCCCAATTAGATGCCCTTGTTTGTATAAAATATCTCTAATGAATTTTGGTACCCTCCATGATAGGCTTACCAGCATGCAAGTATCGTAATTCAATCTCTGGTGGAGGAAGACATTAACGTTAAATTTCTGGTCCAGCTGGATAAGTTGATCCGGCTGCTGGAAACTCCGATTTTTACTTACCTTAGATTGCAGGTGCTCATCTTAAGCATTTGTTGGCTGTGACCTCTTTCGATCTGTTTTTTTTTTTCCTTTTGCTTTCATACTAGCTTTTTAAGAGCATAATTCTATTCCTCTTCTTTTGAACTTTTGATCCTGGATTTGCAGCTTCTGGAGCCAGGAAGATATATTTGGTTGTTAAAAACACTTTATGGTCTTCTAATGTTACTTCCTCAGGTAACTCCATTTGCTAAGGAGAATCTGTTATTCTGAAGGTTAAACCTTATTGTAAAGTCCACAAAAATTTAGCTGCTTTCTTTTCATATCATGTACATGCACAGTGCTGTTTTCTGTATGCATTATTTTATGAACCCACGTAGATAAAGTCCTATGAAGCAGTTTTAGGGGTGTGCGTTCAACCTGAGGAATTTGTGCACATTATTCACTCAATATTATGGGGTTGGGTAATCTGTTGTTGTAAGAGACAAGTTTAGAAATCACTGTTGGAAATGGTGTGAACTTAGGTTGATATCACAGTGCAAACTTTTAATAACATTTTCTGGCAGATGGTTTGATTTGAACATTACGTTACGCATTTGCAGATTAGAAATTGCTGTTAATTAGCGGTTTGATTGATTTCTTGATACTTCATCTGCAGCAAAGTACAGCATTTAAGATTCTACGAACCCGGCTGAAAGCTGTGCCATCGTACTCCTTTAGTAGCAACCAACTGAGCCCAGCATCTTCAGGAGTACCCTTTGCGCAATATCTACAACATGGGTCGCAATTTGCTGAGGATGGTGACATTGATGAAAATATCAGAAATTCCCACCAAGGCATTAACTTCGCTGCACGGCTACAGCAGTTTGAGCACGTGCAGAATCAGCATCGTGCCCATGTAAAAGCTCAAGCAAACTCACGTAGCAGTTCCTCTACTTCAACGTCAAAGGTACATTTCCGCATTTTCGATTCCCGAACGGTTGTTTCGCTGGCATGTTATTGAACTTTGATATAAATAATGCATAGGAGGAGGTGAGGAGACCCGAGGAATCCAGAGGCCCTTCGTCAGCAGGGGAAAACAGCAGACCGCCATCGAGATTATCAAGAAAGGGGCCGGGACAGCTACAGCTTTAACCGGGTAATAACATCGAACTGCTTTGCCTTTTTGCTGCTGCTTGCTTATTTGGGATGGGACAGCAATCCAAAGGCCCCCTTCTATATATATGTCTGTAAAATTGTATATCATTAGTAAGTCTGAATTTGGCCGGGATTTCGTCGAAAGCTGCGGACATTCCATTCTCTCCGTTGGGTTTGAATTTACGCGAGAGGATCTAAAAAGTTGTTTTTTTCTTCCCTCTTGAATCTGCTGCCCTTTTTTTTTATTCCTTTTTGGGGTTAATGATCTTTACATTCGTGTAAGCAGAGGATGTAAAAAGAACCCATGTGGTTTTGTGGTGTTTTTTTTTTTTTTTTTAATTATTTAAACTGGAAAACCACATGGGAGGGAGGAGGAGGATGAGAAATGATTGATGCTGCTGTATGGTTCCATCTTCTGCCTTATGCCTGTGCTCCGATTTCTGTTGAAGTTGATTCAAACAAATTTTTTAATACGGGATTTCGTGATGGATATAGATAAAAGATTGGCCATGTACGTATAGTAATCTCGTGATTCATTCAGGAAAAAAAAAAAGCCGAATACACACAAATCCAACACTGGATCCGAGCTTTCTGTAAATACGTGCTTTCTATGTGCTTAGGTATTATTAGATTATAACAAAAACGAGAGAGATTTGCTTGGAGAAAAAGAAAAAAAAAAGGTACACAGAGATTATTGCTACTATTACACAGAAACAACACTTCCGTGAAAGAAACGCAAACACCTATACAGCTGCAGAAACAGGCGGAGCAGTGATGACTCTGTCTCGATCAGAGGGCGATTATCTTGTCGAGATCAGACTCGTCGTCCAGATCGGAAACGTGAGCAGAATAGGACCAAGAGAAGGACTTGCTCCCACTAGCCCTCTTTATCCTTCTCTGAGAATCGCTCCTGAAACATCCGAACCGCTGTCGGAACACAAAGTAAGACATGCTCGCCAGCGTCCCCACCAGGATGGGAGCCCCAAGCAACGTCACCGTCATCGCCATCCACGAATTTCCTTTCCCCACCACCACAAACGCTATCGCCAAAAATGCCCCGAACGTGCATCCGCAGGCCGCCCACATCAGCTTGTTCACCACCGCCACCACCTTCTTCTGCGCCCTCGTGTCCCACGCCACCAGTGTTATCTGCACTACCACCACCGCCAGCGATATAAACAGCGATGTCGCGTTCAGTAGGCAGAACACCCGAAACCCTGTCCTTCCCGCTATCTCCGCTTTCCCCACCTCCGGCCCTTCCGAGAAGTACTGTCCCGGCAGGTTGAATATCGCCAAGAACCCGATTGACGCAAATAGGACCGCCACAACTGTGATTGAGTTTGTCGTGTTCTGGACTGCTTCTCTATGGAGTTTCCTCAGCTCTTTGGCGATCCCCGATACACGCCTGTTGGTCTTCTCATTCTGTAAAAGCTGTGACTGTACCTCGTGTTTGATATCGCTGACCGCTCTCTTCAGCGCCATTGTCTCGTCTTCTTGCCCTACATACCTTCCGTGTTTGGCCCCTGCGTCAATCAGTGCTTCATTGATCTCCAACGCAGATCCTCCGTATTGGAGTCTATCAGCCAAGTCCATTGCAGTTTCTTTCTGGTTGTTTACTGCATTGACTTCAATTGATGTGTAAGCCAGCAATAGGCTCACTATCTGAGAAAGAACCCGAATGAGAACACATGGAATATGAAAGAGAGATTCATAAACCATGAAAAAGATACGAGCTTTCATCATCATCATACCTGCGGCCGTGACTTCCTCGTCGCGATATGCAACGCAGTGTTCCCTTTCCGGTCCCTCTCGTTCAAAATAGGGTAGCCAGCATGCAAAATCTCCTCCACCACCTCTGCGTTCTGGCCTTTCGCAGCCATGTGAAGAGCACAAGAAAATAAAAAGA